CGAGAATCCGCGAACCACAGAATTCGAGAACCCAAAGTCATTAGCTGAATTCAAGACATTGTGATTTCAATCTTGCTGAAAGTGTACTTGCGGGCGCGCGAGTTGCGGACGTGCGAGTGGACGGGTAGGCGTGCGATTGGAGGTGCGAGTGCGCAAGTAAGCGTACGAGCGAACGTACGAGTGGACGTACGAGTCGACGAGTAGGGTGGACGTACGTATAGCGGTGCACAAAGGACACTAGTTTCAATATAACCGCATCAAACGTCGCTGTTGGCAACGGGCGCCGGCAAAATGCCCCGAATCGCATCATCTTCTCGACCAACAAGCGGCGTTACACGGCTTCGTTTGTAGAAGCGCTGCACAAAGCAGTGGGCGAGCCAGTGTACAAGTGGACGTACGAGCGGACGAGCGAGCAGGCGTGCAGGTGGACGTACTTGTAGGCGAGTGAAGCGCGAGCGGGCGTACGAGTGGGCGAGCAGGCGGCGGGCGACTGGACATGCGAGAACGGGTAATTTATCATAGTTTGTCATAGTGCATCATGGTGTATCAGCACACCTGCCATCGCTTACCATAGTTCATCATAGTTAATTTATCGTTGTTCATCGTAGTTCATCATCATACCGTGTCATAAACTATCATAGTTCATCATAGTTCATCATCATTGCTCATGGTAGTCTATGATCTATTTCCATATAGTTCATCCCAGCTCATCATCATAGATTGTCATGTTTCAATATGCATCATAGTTCATCATCATAGCTTTTCACAATGTACCGTAGTTCCTAATAATTTAGAATAGTTCATCCTCGCAGCTCATCACAGCTGATCAAAACCCAGCATGGTTCATCAAAGTTTTTTGTTCATCGTAGCTCATCACCATAAAGCATCATATCTTATCGCAACCTAACATATTTGTTCATAGCTTATCATAGCGCATCATGGTTCATCATCATCGCTTATGATAGTTTATCACAGTTTCTGATGAATTTATGATAATCTATCATAGTTCATCATAGACCATCATCATAGCTTATCATAGTTTACCATAATGCACCATAGCTCATCATCTTAGTTTATCATAAGTTATCATCATAGTTCATCCAAGCTTCTCGAGTAATCACTATTTGTCATAGTTTGTCATAGTCCATCACCATATAGCTTATCAGAATCTAGCATAATGTATGATACTTTACCATGCTTCATCTTACGATAACTTTGCTAATTTTACAAATAACCACATCTTATCATAACTTGTCATAGTTTGGCATTGTGTATGATAATATAGGAAAAGGTGTCATTGTTCATCATGGGAGTCGCTGACAAGATGGCTTTTCAAAGGATATTAAAGCATCAAGAACCAGGACCTCATTGGATTCACCCACTCGTGCACCCAACTCCTCCATCCACTCGTGCGCTCGCACGTCCACTCGTCGACTCGTACAAGCGCACCAGAGAGGGTGCGAGTGGGTGTATACGAGTTGCTGCGCGGGTCGTACGCGTTGTGCGAGATTCCACGCTCACAGGGATATTCCTTCTGATCGTGTGGCCCGCACAAGTCTACACGTGCAGCAATAAGGCCGTGTTTTTACAAAATGCGGCTTATTTTTTCAACACCCTGGCTTATTTCTGTACGAATGATTTTTTGCATAAGCAAACTTATTTTTCGCAAGAAGATTTGCCTTATTTCTGCACGCATGGACTTGAGCACGCCCAGGCGTACAGAATAAAGGCCGGCAAGCCCACATGTACGTACAGAAGGCCGGATTTTAGAAAATAATTGCACTATCGAAAATCGTTCTTACTTCTCACCGCGCAAGTCCACTTGCACAGAACGCGAGCCCTATGGGATCCGAGAATCCTGTATCAAGCACTTGGCGGGCGCGCTTACATGCGAAGGCGCACTTGAGCGGGCGTTGCGCGCTTACCTTGCGGCAGGTTTGTGCGTAGCACTGCGCTTGAGCGGGCTTGCTTACTACGTGCCAGGCCTGTGTGCGTAGCGCCTACCAAGCGGGTGCTCTTCAGCGCGGCCCAGTAGCTTCAGCAAAAACAGCACTGAGTCGGCTAAAGCAATCTCACGGCCGGACAAAATAGACTCTGGGAAAAACTACTTCGCCAGAGTCAAGAACATTTTCACGCGGAAACACACTCGCTCAGCACTGCAAACATGCGCAGAAGCAAGAAGAACGCACGCTCGAGCGCACTCGCTCAGCGCTAGGCGCACGCACTCAGTGCTGCGCAACTGCCTGCCAAACGCTGGTGGTAAGAGCACCTGCTTGCCGCGCGGCGCGACACACACGCGCGCCAGATCCAGTGCGCTCGCTCAGCACTGCACACACGCCTGCTGCCAACGCGCCTCCCAAGTGGTAAAAACACACGCTCGTGAACACTCGTCGATCGTGCGTGCCCGCTCAGCATTGCGCACATGCCTGCCAAATGGTAACAACACCCGTTGTGGTCAACCCGCTCAGCAGTGCGCAAGTGGTAAGCACACCCGCGCGCGTGCACCCCCTCAGCGTTGCCCATGCCTGCCAAATGGTATGAGCACCTGGCCGGGCTGCGTTGCGCAAATGCCTGCCGGAGCTGCCAAATAGTTGCTAAATAGTTGACCATGTGCAGACACGATGAGAAGACCCACTTGAGCGCACCTGCTCAGCGCTGCAATAAGCCTGCCAAAGCCTAAGAACACCCTCTCTTGCGCGTTCGCTCAGCGCTGCACACATGCCTGCCAAATGCTAATAACACCACAGCGCACAAACTCAGCGCTGCACGCGTGCTTCCCAAATGGTAAGAACACCCGAACACGCATTCCAGCGGCCTGCGGAGTACTGCACGCATGCCTGCCAAACGCTAAGCACTGAAACACCGCTCGCGTGTGCCCGCTCAGCGCTACGCACGCCAGCCGTTCAAGTGGACCCCTTGAGCACTGCGCACGTGCCCCCCCAAACTGTAAGATGGGAACAGCCGCTCAAGCGCTTAGCGCTGCAGAGACATGCTACATGGCAAGAACGCTCGCTCGTGCGCCCACTCAGCTCTGCGCACGCCTGCCAAATGGTAAGAAGACCTGGTCCGGTGCGCCCCGCTCAGCGCTGCACATGACTGCACACATGCCTGCCAAATAGTAAGAACCGCTCAGCGCTGACCACATGCGCAAAAGTGGTAAGAAGACCTGTGCCTGCTCAGCGCTGCACGCTTGGCGCACGCTTGGGGCGCCACACACGCCTGCCAAATCCAGAGCGCCCGCTAGCGCCGCGCACACGCCTGCCCAATGGTAAGAGCACTCGCTTAAGTGCGCCCGCTCAGCGCTGCAAACGTGCCTTCCAAGCGGTATGCACACCCGCTCGAGCGCACCCGTTCAGCACTGCGCGCATGCCTGTCAAATGGTAGGAAAACTGCTCCTGCCAAAAAGTTGACCGCACCCGCACAGAGCTGCAAACATGCGTAGGAATTCTAAAAACACCCACTCGAGTGTGCCCACTCAGCTCTGCGCTTTTGGGGCGCAAGGGGCCTTGGAATTATCCTGGCGGCCGGCCTTGAAGAGGCGAACAATGCGACGTGCGCTGTGTTGTGTACTTGTCTTACAGTCTTCATTTGTCAACTGGAAACAGAGATGGACAGGAATGGGAGAAAAAGGGAGTGGAAAGGACATGGAAAGGAAATGAGAAGGAAATTGAAGGACACCCGGGCCACGAAATGCAAATGAAAAGTTACTTTTTCCAGCCCGGGCTGGCCTTGGGCAATTCCAGCCAGGAATGGAAAGAATGACCAATGAAGGTGGTTGAAACCCCTTCAAAAACACATATTTGTTTCTACACCTTCAGAACCCATCCGCTCCGCACTTGATATTCACAGAAATTCGCGGGTGTGACAGATTGCAACTTTACAAACTCAAAATACACTACCAAGCAAACACACGCACACACACAGACACACACACACACCGGTGCCAACCGAAAACACACAGACACAAACACCCTGCCGGGTCGTTACCCGTCGGTCTTTTTTGACATGCGTTTTGCCTAGCGTTTTCGTCCGTTTTCAAACGACAAAAGAGCTACCTGCGCACGGTCGTTTCTGTGCCACTATTTTGGAAACGCTGGCAGGCGTGGGGCATCACGCACCTCATTTTCTCTTTTTTTGTGGCTTCCTTTCAATCTATTCTTGAATGCAAAACCATGGTTTGCACGGGAATTCTCAGTGTTTTTGGCCGCAGCCATCTTCAGGGATCAAAAACACAAGTTTCTGAAGACCCAGAATGTTTCGGTTTGGGGGCAGCGTTGCCTTCGGAGCCTCTTTTTTTTTGCAGTCCGGAGGTTTCCAACCGCCCACGGAAAACTTCCTTAGAGCGGTTGCACTGGTGCGATATTTTTGCATTCTTTGCTAACTTCTGTAGTGTTTTGCGCCGTCTGCGATCAACACGCGCGGGGGTGCTTACCATGTGTTGGGGGTGGGATCACTTGGGCGGGGGCGCTTGCGATCAGGGGTGCTTACTGGGGGGTGCTTACCATGTGTTGGTGGGGATCACTTGCTTGCCATGTGCTCACTTGGGCGAAGCGGGCGCGCTCGAATGCGCGTTCTTACCATTTGTTCTGCGCTGAGCGGGTGGGTCTTCTTGCAATTTGGGAGGCGTGCGCGTGCAGCGCCGAGTTTGTGCTCTCAAGCGCAGAGCGGGTTCGCTCGAGCCAGGCGTCCTTTTACCATTTGGCGTGTTCTTACCGTTTGGCAGGCATGCGCGCAGCGTCTTGCCATTTGGCATTTGTGCAGTGCTGAGCGGGTGTGCTGGAGCTGGGTGTTCTTACCATTTCGCAGGAATGTGCGCAGTCGCAAGCGCGTGCGATGGAGCGGGTGTTCTCAGGCATGCGTGCAGGGCTGAGCGGGTGCACACGAAGGGGTTTTCTCGCTTGTGCAGTGTTGGGCGGGCGGGTTCTCACCGTTTGAAAGGCAGAGGGTGCATCCCAAAAAGGTTCAGCTGCTAAGCCGTCAGTGCTCACTGAGACCCGCGCCAGGCCCTGACTATGGCTCCAGGCCTTTGTGCAAAGACCCCTTCCAAGGCACCCGCCAAAGAGCACCAAAACTATGTCCAACAAATCTCACAGCGAAGCAATGACAACAATTCCCCCTTAATAGCTGCAGCCTGGTCATGAATCCGCCGACCCCTTTGCAAAAGCCATGTTAGTCTCTGCAAAGAAGCAAGGCGTGCTCTAAGCAGTGGTCAGGGAGAGTCTGAGCGGGGGGTCAAGCCTAACGTCGAACTCTGACCTTTGGCCTCTAACCCCTAACCTTAACCTAACCGTAAGCTCTGACCCTAACCTCTAACCCCAACTTCCTACCCTAACCTCTAACCCTCTAAACCCTACCCCTAACCCTAATCTGTGCTAACCCTAACCTGTAACCCTATCCTAACCCTAATCATCAATCCAAAGTGGGGGTCTTCTATTAGGCGGTCTAGGGTCAAACGCAGGTTTGCAAATTTTGTTTGCCAGGTTTTTGCCAGATTTTGCACAAGTTGCCAGATTTTGCACAAGTGGCACCGACATGCAATCAACATGCAAACGACATGCATGGTTCGCCGTGAGTCATGAATCAAGTTGATCAACTATTTGCCAAAACTTGGCACCAACATGCAAACAACAAACGGCATGCGTGTTATGTATGCACTGATGGATGTGTATGGAATGTATGTATGATATGTGTGTGAATTGTAATGTCATGTAATGCAATGTAATGTCAGTGGGGATGCTTCATCGCTCGTTAGCTACTAACTGAGATAATCAGGAGCGCGCTGCTTTGCGCTGCGCCTGTCGACCGCCAGGGATTTCCTGGCCATCTCGCGTTGGGCGAACAGGCCATCGCCGGTGCACAGACTCTCACAGGGTCTCAGAGCTCAGCACAAGATTGAAGACTTCGCCAAGTCTTCGGCAACGCTCTCTCTCTCTCTCTTTCTCTCTGTCTCTCTCTCTCTCTGAAGAGACAAAGTCCACATTGTCGTCACTCTGTCAGGGCCCACTCAAAAAGAGGAAACTTGAAAGTGTAAACCTGCCATGGCCCGAGTCTTGTCTTCTGGTCTGAGATGCCGCCTTGAGTGCAAACTGCGCAAGAACCAAATCCACAGCAACACCATGCCACCTTCTCGCATCTGCGCAAACGAAGGAAAATCCTCTTTCCCATGTAGGGAAGGGCTATTGATGCCATGGCTGGCTGCAGCCATGGCATCCTCGACTTGCTGCAACGGTGCACCCTGTTGGCGGGCATGTCTGAGGATGTGCAACAGTTCTGCCAGGCTTGGACCGGAGCTTGAGGATGCGCGCCAGGAGTTGCGTGTGCAAGAGGAAGAAGCATATTGCCTTGCTGCCGCAAATAAGGCTCTAGTCTAGACATGGATGCCTCTCTGCGTGGACTGCTCGGCGCTGTCTTGGAGATTGAAGCGCTGGCGTTGGACCTGAAGAATCTTAGAGCCTCCCCACTATCTACAGCCGGCAACTGCATTGAAGGTGTTCTTGAAGTCTTGGTTGAGTTCCCTCCTGGGTAGACGGGCCTCCCTGTTCGCCGGCAGTCGACCAAACTGCCACATCATATCTTCAATGGACAATGCACAGACGGCGCCATGCCTACTTGCCGCCACGCCTGTCAACTCTAATACAGGGAAGCTCACTTCCCCCGTCCTGGATGTCCGATCGCGTGGCGCGTTGACGCCGGCTGGTACACCTTGCATACGTCTTTCAGCCCCCAGATGCCAGCAACTGCTGCATTCCCAGTTGACTCACAAATGCTTACTTTACTAAAGCTGCAACCTCTTGCAGGTAGCAGTTGCTGCTGCCACGCTGGAACGACTGCGCGCAGTCAGTCAGCACAAACAATGGGCAATGGCCTGAGCCTGTCGATGCAACACGCAAGCCAGCAGCACAAGGTCCACAGCTGGCTGCTCGCTGCGTTCGGTTCAGCTGGATGAGTTTGTTATAAGAGACCTCCTTGCAAAGTCAAAGATCGAATATCATCTCCCAGGCGACGCACCGACCTCGAACTCATCCAGGCGACCTGCCAGCTGGCGTAGCCTGTGCCACACAGTGACAAGGAAGATGATACTCAATCTCAGGCGACGGATCAATTGGGTCAGTCATGATACTAAGTTAGAGTAGTGTTACAGCTTGAGCCAATCGCACATGACATGAGTCGAGTGTTTCTGTTATTGCGGCGAATTGTCTCGCTGACATAGTTAGCATAGCTTGCGCCATGGTGACTGTACTAATTTTGTCGGAGACATGCAAGCAGACATCAATGGATGTGTTCTCTGTTTTTTTTGGTTGAGCAATCATTAACAAAAGTATGTGCATGTGAACATGGTTTGTCACAGACATGAACACATTATGCGCATTCTGCCTTGAGTCATGGCTCGATTTACATCTGTTTGCAAACTGACTCATGCCCACTCGCCAAAGGGCTGAGTCAGTGAGGCCCATATAAGCACAGCTCCAATGTTCAGCATGAAAGTCATCCTTAGAGCTTGCCCCATTCGACGGTTGTTAAACTGATTACAATTAATATAGCTCAAATTTGTCCAGCCAAACTTACCAATTTAGACATCACTGCCATTGCATCAGCTGTCATGTGATGCTGTCACTTTGTGACATTGTATGACGCCATGTGTGAAGTGAAGCAGCTTGTGTGTGTGCGTGTGTGTGCGCATTGTGTGGCCGCTGCGCTGCCAGGCCCACCTGTCCCTTGCTGTCGAAAGAAACTGGGACGCCATGCGCACTTCGGACATGAACACATTATGCGCATTCTGCCTTGAGTCATGGCTCGATTTACATCTGTTTGCAAACTGACTCATGCCCACTTGCCAAAGGGCTGAGTCAGTGAGGCCCATATAAGCACAGCTCCAATGTTCAGCATGAAAGTCATCCTTAGAGCTTGCCCCATTCGACGGTTGTTAAACTGATTACAACTGATATAGCTCAAGTTTGTCCAGCCAAACTTACCAATTTAGACATCACTGCCATTGCATCAGCGGTCATGTGATGCTGTCACTTTGTGACATTGTATGACGCCATGTGTGCAAGTGAAGCAGCTTGTGTGTGTGCGCATTGTGTGGCCGCTGCGCTGCCAGGCCCACCTGTCCCTTGCTGTCGAAAGAAACTGGGACGCCATGCGCACTTCGGACATCAGCCAGCCAGGGCTGCTGCAGCTGGTCTTTCTCGCAACCGGCTTGAAGCCGCATGTGTAGATGTCCGCATTGAGGGTATCAACCTACAAACAGTTGAGAAGGAAAATGAGGCAGAACTTCAAGAAGACCAAGAACCTGGGAAGGGAGCAAGTGGGCGGAAATCGAGGCCCAGCTTGGGAAAGGCAACCTCCTGAAACCGCCTTGGAGTTTGGATGGGGTCCAATCTGGATGTCACAGAACGTCACGGCCAAGGCGAAGGGCAGGGCTATGTGGTGCCACCTGCGAAGGCTACAGGTATTGTGGCCTCTGCTGCACCAGGCGATTGGACAGGCGTGGCGCCGCCACCCGCTATGCCAGCAGCAAGCGTGCTCTGCGTGGCGCAGGCATTTCCACAAGCAAGCAGGACAGGTGTGGTGCCGCCAGTGACACAAGGACAAGCCAGGGCGGTTCCCCTTCCCCCTCTGCCTGCGCCTGCTGCTGCGGCTGATGCTGCTGCAGCAGCAGGAACGGGTACGCAGAGCAACCTGCCAGCCGAGCCAAAGGCCATGGCTGAGCAGCCGTCACCAGGCCCAGGATCAGAAGAAGAATGATGATGCTGATGACAGCGAGCAGGAGATGGAGGAGCAGGAGGCGCCAGTGTGCGTGTTCTGCCTGTCCGGCATGAACGTGCACGAGGAGGCTCCTTGTCAAAATTGAGTTGTGAGATTTGCATGACAAGCAATGCATTTTTGGAAAAGCAACGCGCTGTGAGTGAGTGTCTCAGTGATGTTGCCCAGGAGACTGAAGCCCTGCTTTGTGGACACACTTTCCACTCTGAATGCGTTTTGCGGCAGACGGCGGCCAACCATGTGCTTATCGATGCCACACGTATCAGAATGAGCAGCCGCTTGCGGAAGCAGCAGAAGGCTGGGAGTTCCTGGCTTGAGGCTTCATGGAGTCACAGGCAGGCGTGGTGCCATTCAATGAATGGACATTCAATATAACTGCACAGTGTGCTGAGTGAGGGCTGTCACATGCAATTCACACTGATGCGAAGCTTTGAAAAGAGAGATGTGTCTTGGCTTGGGGGCTGACTGGCTTCATTAATGCAGCATTTGCCTTCGACAAATAATGCTAAATTCAGAATCGGTGGAGCGTTAATGTTCACCTCAAGCCCCATATCATGTCAGTCATGTGTGCACCTTTTTTGCAGTGTGTGTTTCTCATTTGCCATTGTTTAGATTAGATTGTATTTGAAATTCGTATGGGTAGTAATATTCCTAGCAATCTTGCATTTTTGCATTTTTTGCACTTTGAATACAGAATTAGAATTGTTGGGGATTGAATGTTCACCCCACCCTATCTCAATTCTGCATGTTTGGCATTTTTGCATTTTCATTCTTTTTGCAAACAATGTGTAAACATGATGAACATGTGTGCCTGGGGATGTGTGCCTGACATGGAGTTCAACAGCAAACTTCTGCGCACGAACTTGATGTGTTTGCGTTGCCAGTGCTAAAAGTACCTGTGCTCTCCACACAAGCTGTGCTTTTTGAGTGCTGTTCAACTTCAAATTTCTGCCCATGGACATGTTATTTTTGCATACCCAGCACTAAAACTCACCGTACTCTATACACAAGCTGTGCTTTTTGAGTGCTGTTAAACTTGAAATTTCTGCACATGAACATTATATTTTTTTGCATTCCCAGCAGTAACAGTCTCTGTACTTTAGACACAAGCTGTGCTTTTCGAGCGCTCTTCAACTTCGAGTTTCTGGACATGAACATGATATGTTTGCAGTCCCAGCGCTAAAAGTCCCTGTGCTCTATACACCAGTTCTTCTTTTCGAGCGCAGATTCTTGCATCCAGCACATTGTGTGAACAGTT